TATATTTGACATTTACATTTAATATTTATATATAGACATAACATTTATATTTACATATGATGAACAATTGTGCAAATAATCTACACAGCAAAAAATATGATGATCCACAACACCATTGACTTCTAGCTAAATGTCAGAAAATTGCACTAAATGTTGAAAAAGTGGCAAGTACAAAAATGTTTCGAAACTTTACAAACGGCGCCCCATACATCTGAGCTAAAGTTTCGATCTGAATGAACGGTTGGGGTCCCTGTGACTCACCACCGCCCCTCACCCTTCACACCACTGAGAGCTCGGCGCGAGCCGGCCTGACGGGGAGATTTACGAGATCTGTACACATGCTAGATGACATAGAGTATGCACTGCCTCTCAGCTCCTAGTATGAACTCTATCCGCTGTCACACACAACTGCATTTTAATATACGTGGATATACTGTGCTTAAAACATATGCACACTGTATAGGAAGGTATACTGTTACTTAAACATTGGCACTCTGTGTGTCTTAGAATTAGGTGATTAGTGGTCATTGTTAACACAGCACAGCACACAGTGCAACAATGAAATGTGTCCTCTGCATTTAACCCATATGTGACATAACAGGGGGCAGCTAATTCAGCGCCTGGGTACCTCAGTGGTGCTTTGCTGGTCTGGGATTCGAACCTGCAATCAATCGATTACAAGTGCGCTTCCCTAACCATCAAGCCACCACTGCCCACTGTTTTCTATATCTATGCACAGTCTCAGGTTATTATCGGCTGGGCTGCCCCCCGGCTGTGGTTGTGCAACATTTCCTTACGGTTTCTTTTCTGTTCATCAGTTTGTTTTTTGTTTTGCTTTTACTTTTTTGAGGGAGTCACAGAGGTTTAGTTTCCTTATCTGGTCATTCAGAAATACAAGTGACTGTCTCAAGCGCTTGTACATCAGCTTGAACAGTCATGATTCTGGAACTGAAAACCCCCAAAGTGCAGAAGTACGAGAGTCTCCTCTGCCGCAGAGGAAGATGTGAAAAAGGAAAAAGGAAGTCATCGATGTTTTAAAGCTTTGAGAGACGCTCACTGTGCACACTGGACACAGTCCGTGTGTCACTGTTATACAATGGCAGTGCATGGCCACTGTATGCCGGCATTATTGTTAATTCTGTTTCACATTATGCCAGGTAAGTGCTTATGAGAATCATCAGGTTCACTGTTTGTCTAATATTTTATTGTAATTTGATTATTTAGAGCAATAAATAATTTATGTTTAAGAAATGTTACTTGATAACTAAAAGGTTATTCTAGGCTTAAGTATGACATAACAATGAGGTTTGATAGGAATGTTATACCGCTTGTAACCATCTAACATAATCAACAAACAGGGTAAGGTGTCATAGGCCTGTAAGTTTCACATTTAATCCGTTTTGCAATATTTACTTTAAAGCCTGCAGATTAATCATGATGCATCCCCCCTCAGTTTATCAGTGTTTGCCGTTTCTGTGCTGTTTTCTCTCCCAGTTGCTGAGAGCTCTCAGACGATCACTGGATTTGTTGGGTATAACGTGACCCTGCCGTGCTCCTACGATGCAGAGTATTACGGTGGACTTTACATGTGTTGGGGGAGAGGTGAAATACCTTATAGTGGCTGTGACGATGAAATCATCGCGACAGATGGATTCAAAGTGACACGGAGAACATCACCCAGGTATCAGTTAATCGGTGACCTGAATCAGGGTGACGTATCTCTGACCATCATCGATGCT